TTCTCTTCCGCCCCGAACCACATTTCTTAGCCGTTTTTAGTTAAGTCTTCACATAGTTTCATCCAAGAGCTAAACCGAAATTTTGTTTTGCAGAATGGGTAACCAACCAACTGGAGCCAAGAGGACTGGTAGCACTGTTCAAATCAAGGGACAACCAATTGAGCAGAAGGGCAACTGTTGTGGTTAACTGCTGATGTTGCATTGCTGTATCCCTCTGTTCCAATTGCAAAATGTCGAACAGATTGTAACTAAAACATATGTTTACTAGAGCTAGAATGTCTCGACTCCTGTGTATCTTCCCGTTAGTGGAAATACATTTCCAACTTTGCTTCAGGTGTATGTAACAACTACTGTTTGATGCAATTAGGATCTCGGATGAATAACTTGATGAGAATTAGTTAACAAGCTGCTAGAGATGAGATGAAATTAAAATATGTTTGTATAACATCATCGCTAGAATAGATTAAAATAATTAGTTGAGTATTAGACTAGAACAGAATACTAGGTACTCCAGCCCTAACTCAATTCGATCCATGCATCACATTATCACATATATCACGAGTTTAGAGTTTTTTTTTTCAAAGAAAATTTTGTTGTGGTGTGAAATTAAACTTGGCATTCTTACCGTTTTTAAGTGGAGATTGTCAGCCAACACTTCTATGTAACCAACTAATTATCACCATTCACCTCCCAAGAATTCTTATATCTGAAGGGAAATTGCTCTATGGGCATTTGAGTAGTCATACATATTTTTAGTTAAAAGACCAAAAGACTCAGAGTACTCTTTCTTTTTCTTAAATTTTGTGTAGAGTTAAACTAAGACGAGCAATTTTTTACGAAGGGAATAATTGCTAATGCCATTTGAAATAACACTTCACAATTGAAATAATTGATCTCATTCTTAATGAGTCATACTATAGCAAGATTTTAACATGTATTACACATGAACCTTCCTACTGATGAAAACGGGTATGACATTATACCAAAAATATAGAAGAAAAAAACAGTACTAATTATCACTAACAAAAGGAACAATTTAGAGGCTTAAAAATCTAATGACCATTACTATGCAGAGCAACATGCCTTCTTGGGGGCAGGCTCCTCTGCCCCGACAACAAGAGTCTTCCCTTCTTTGATGTTAGCAGTTGCTGGCTCCTCTGAAGAAAGTGGCTTCTTACTGATTATCCGATAGATTTCTGAAAGAATTGTCTGGAAAGACTTCTCTACATTTGTTGCCTCCAATGCAGATGTTTCAATGAAAGAAAGGCCCTCTTTTTCAGCAAAGCTTTGAGCATCCTCAGTAGCAACTGCTCTGAGATGCTTCAGATCGGTTTTGTTTCCAATGAGCATAATCACAATGTTTGAATCTGCATGGTCCCTCAGTTCCTTCAACCACCGACTAACATTCTCAAAGGTAGTGGGTTTTGTCACATCATATACCAGAAGAGCCCCAAGAGCACCCCTATAGTAAGCACTTGTAATGGCTCTGTATCTCTCCTGTCCAGCTGTGTCCCAGATCTGAGCCTTGACGGTCCTTCCCTCAACCTAGACACATCAAAATTGAGCAACAAAGATTTTAATACAACATAAATTCTACAATTACCAAAAATTGTAGCAGCGCCAATAGCAACAAGAACAGAGGTGTTATTCAATGGAGTACGGCAAGGTGAATCGTTGTTGGATTATTTCACAAGACTAGACTCATGGCATCTCTTAAAGATAGAATGCACTAGACTGGTCTTCCAGATTCATGTTTGACCTCAGTGAACCTGGAAGATGCCTGTTACTCCCTAATTTGGAAAACCAGTTGCTCAGGATGAAGACAACTAGGTCCTTATGGACTTTGATTAATAGTAGAATGGACCTCTTCATTTGTTTCAAGAGTAACATTTAACAGGTAATGGAGGCATAATCACATTAGGTTTCCTACAGTTTAAAACTTGTAATAAACAGCTAGATCAAAACCAAGCAAATGATCAGGCAACAACATTTGCTTTAACCATAAAAGCTTTTTCTTGCATTCTCTGGCATTATATCTTTCTGTATCAAAGAATTACAAAATATGGGAGCTTTCGTTACAGTAGAAGCTACATTAGATAAACAACAACATACCCAATGTAGTATCACAAAGTGGGGTATGGAGAGGGTAGAGTGAGGTAGAGAGGTTGTTTCCGATAGATCAGGATATGTTTTTTAAACAATTGCAACATCTAGCTTCTTGAGTCATTTCGTTACACGAAGAATAACTATACCCTTGGTTAGGTAAGAGGGGGAAATAGGGGTAGTCCGTCCTTAAGAAAAAAAACACAATTTGATAAGAATCATTTTGCTAAGTGAGAAGGCCAACTAGAAGTTCTTCTGGCCAGATTACACTTTGTCTCCTTTACCTCTTTCAACCCTTCATGTCATTTTTACTAACAAGGTTCTTATACAGTCCACCAAGATACGACCAACCACAGATGAGGACTGTATTTCTCACTCAAATTAATTGAGGATTTTCAAGACAATGAAACCATTCACAATTTTGATAACAATGGACAAATACAAGGTATTCATTTCAGCAGTAAAGATGCTCTCTTCTTCTTCCCTTTACTTGCAATTACTTCCAATCAAGGAATGGTTCCGAGTTTTTCCTAACATGGACTGGTAATCATATTAATATATATATTTTTTTGAACATTGGTAAAGTTGCATTCTTCAGCATTAAGGACATGCTGGCCACCTTCAAAATTTACAGCCCTAAGCGAAATTACAAGCTCCCTATTAATTCTATAATTTGATCTTATATCTTCTATGCAGAGTTGTTTACACCAAAAAAGTAAAGATACCAAACAATTCCATTTTACTTTGTGAATGGAATTAGATCTATCTTCAAAACATCTCCCATTTCTTTCCTTCCACACTGACCACCATATGCATGATGGTATTAGCTTCCACCACTTCTTTTGAGTCTTGCTACCCCCACCCCCCACCCCCATCATATTAATATATCCTGCTTATAGAAGGTTTGAATTGATAAACATAGACAATACACATGTTTTTTAGAGAAGATTAATCATACAAGGAGAGGAAGGGATTCTAATACCAAATAAATCCAGGGAAGAACATAGAAATTGTTTGAATTCAAGTGGAATAGTAACTTCTAATAACTTCACCATATATGGAAAAAAAAATACTAAGGGAGTGAATGGTCAACAGAAAAGGGAAGTGAAAAGTAGACCCAAGGATGTTTGGGTTTTACTAGCAGCATAGCAAAGCGACCATAGAAAAAGCTAATTTTATCTACAGTTATTTTATGTATTTCATACTATCACAATGCATAAAACTTACACAGTGCAAATCAAGAACCAAGCACTGCAAGGGTTTCATAGATATGGAAAGGTCATGTGACCCTGATCTCAAGGTCATGGTATACATCTACATCCCATACCAAACCCTAACTCCATGCCACCAAGCAAGGAAGTCAATTCTAGAAACAAGGCATTTATTAATGTTAGTTAATGAACCTAACAAATCAACATGCCCAGAAATATAAAATCAACGCGATCACAACAATAAATAATACTAGCACTCTCCCATTAAACTCAACAAAGAAGCACATTAACTCTTATGGTACAATTGAATTGGTTACAGGTCAAGGAGACACGTATAGAGTATTAGCACTTAATACATCAATTTATCACTTAATGCAAACGTCGGGTATACAGAAATGCATTATTCAAAATCGCGCGCTTGAGGAAACGAACAAAAACAAAGGATGAGGAGTAGAAGAGGGACCTGGAGTGTACGAGTGGCGAATTCAACGCCGATAGTGGATTTGGACTCTAAGAGAAACTCATTTCTGGTGAATCGGGAAAGCAAGTTGGATTTGCCGACTCCTGAATCGCCGATTAATACAACCTTGAACAAGTAATCGTACTCCTCTTCCGCTCTTCTCGCCATTTCCTCGCCCTGTTGAATCGCTCCTTCTGCCGATTCAGATTTACTCAAATACTGTAAAACGCCTTCGGATTCGGATCGATTTCTTTCTCTCTCTGAAATCTGAATGATTGAAGATCGTTGATGATGATGACAATGAAGCGTGAGGGAAACAGAGAATTTTCTTATGACGCAAATGCCCCCAAATTCTCGGTATTTAATTACAAATTTGCCCTTGAAGCAGTGTGACATTTCAAAGATGATGTGCTCTTCAAATTTTGAACCTCCGAAATTTTCGCATTTTTAAATTTCCAATTCTTCGAACCGCATTTCTTTACAGAAGGAAAAAGTCCACGTCTTTTTTTTTACTAATACTTTTATTTTTCGATCTTCTCAAATATCTTATAGTCATGTGAAAATTGTAAAATTAATTTTTGATCTTTCTTATGTGATACCTCAAACAAAGCTACTTCTCATTTTAAAATGATGGAATGTAAAATCAAATGTATAAATTTAATAAAATGCAGACATACTTTTATTATTTTTACATAAAGTTTACGAAATTCATTATGAATCTATAATTTTTATAGTTAAAAAAATATACTACGATCAAATTTAATTGTTGGGGGATATTAATGTAATCCTCTTAATCTTTCTAAATAGTTGTAGACTTGTAGCTATTGGACGAAGTAATTTCTAAAGGCTCTCATGGAAGCTTATTTTTTTCCTCAGTGTTGTCTACAACAACAAATATTGAAACTTGGCCACATGGATGAAATTAAAAGAGTTCGTACTTGTTCTTTACAACAACAACAAATCGATCTAATACCATAAGTGAAATCTGGAAAGGATGAGAATTGAGAGGTATCTAGACCCTAACCCTATCTTTGTGGAGTAGAAAGATTGTTTATGATAGACCATTCCATAAGTGGGGTCCAAAAAAATGAGATGTACACAGAAGAGAGATTATTTTCGATAGATCCTCGACTTGAATTTGTTCTTTAAGATCATGTATGTGTAGTGCTAAATGAGAAAGGAGCAATTGAACTCTTAAAGGGAAAACTTACAAATAAAACCTCAATTTCAACACAAGCAGACCATACAGTGTTTTCATCAAATGTACACACAACTCTACATGATTCTTTACATAACCATGTGAACTTATTTTATAATACAACAGAATTCTCATCATAGACACAACACTAACATGATCATTTTCCATAACCATGTGAATTTATTAATTACATAGTGCTTTAATCAAGTAGTAGACACAACTCCTGCGTGATCTTGTTTCCATAACCAATATACATGTGAATAATTAGGAAGCAACTTCAAGAGATGGGTAATCAGTGTAACCAATAATTGGATCATTAGTGTAGAAAGTGCTCCTATTATACTTGTTAAGTGGAGCATTAACCTCAAAACGCTTTGGTAAATCTGGATTAGCCAAGAACATACGTCCAAATGAGATCAAATCTGCATAATTCTCATCGATGGCTTTGTCCCCATCAGATTTACCATAACCACCAGAAGCAATAAGTGTCCCCTTAAAAGCCTTCCTAATGGGAAGAAGACTTTTATTAGCTGTTTCTCTGGGCTCCATCACATGAAGATAGAGAACGCCAAGCTTGCTTAGTTCATTCGCCATGTAAGTTGCTAGTGCTTCTGAATTCGAGTCCTTTTTGCCATCAAAAGGAGATAGTTTTATACCAATTTTATCAGCTCCAATTTCATTTGCCACGGCTTCTACTATTTCCAGGGCAAGACGACAACGGTCCTCAATACTTTCATCATATTCATCAGTCCTACCGTGGATTTGATCATTCATGAATTCGTCAATCAGGTAGCCGCCACTTGAAGCGTTGATCTCAATTCCATCAAATCCTTCATATATATCATGGGAAACTAGTTAAGCTATCAGATGCTTGGAAAATGAACTATAGGTGTGTCATTGAGTAAATGAATACTTCTCAATCTTCATTATAAAGTTTGGATTCCATCATCAAACTTGTAATTGGTAAATATTGAATCACCTGCAGTTGATCAGTTATCAAATGGGGATTGAGTAAAATATAAGTTACCAGCTTTAATCGTGTTACGGGCTGCAATCCTGAAATCATTGACAATGCAAGGAATTTTATCAGATTTCAGAGGAAGAAGTGTTGGTTTCTCATACACTTGATCATCAGGTCCTGCATGTGAAAAAGAATACAGAAACCGCATATAATTGAGAGATGCAGCAGAAACTACTATATGATTTTCCTTGACTACTGCATGCTTTGTTTATGTTTATCCACTACAAAATGTAAGTCTTACTTGTGGACCATCCAATGCCGATCGAGAAATATAATGCACTAATTGTAGGGACAGATAAGCGGCCTGAATGCCAAATTTGACAAAAGAAGACACCTCCTTTCTCATGAACACCCTTCACTACTGGTTTCCATGCCTCCACTTGCTCCTCATTCCATATTCCAGGCAAGTTTGGGCACCTTTAAGAAAATTGAAATATTGCTAATTATTAGTGAAACTTTAAAACAAATCCAGAGTTCCATGGAAAAAACTTGTATGTATCTCGTGTTTTATTCTCGATGACAACAACATATCCAGTGAAATCTCACAAGTAGAGTTTGGGAAGGGTTGAGTGTAAGTAGACCTTACCCCTACCTCATGAAGTAGAGAGGTTGTTTCTGAAGGACCCTCAGCTCAAGTGCAGCAAAATCAGAATAGTTATGAATAGGAAAAACGACAATAAGGGAGAGCAGTGCAAAACATCATGTATAGTTCTTGAGGATTTGATTATTAGTAATTGAGCTTAATTATTCATTTTGCGATCAGAATCATGTTTGAATACTTATGTCTGGGCATCAATCACTAGTGTAGTTAGATATCCCAGAACGTACTTGGCTTTAATATATACGTTTAAGTGGAGTTGTATTTTTGTGCTCAACTAGAATTGAACATGCTTTGCTCGATTTCATATGATATAGAAATACATGAAAACTATCTTATTTTGGGAGGAGGAAGAGAGGGGTAATCTACGTACTCCTTAGAAATATCAGATGCAGCAGCTGCTTCAGAAATGACAAGACCTCCATTAGTAGCTCTTTGAGAATAGTATTCAGTTACATGTGGCTGTGGAGTATTATTTTGTGATCAGTTCCTCGTAAGTGCTGGAAAAACTATTCTGCAATATTCAAGAGTTATAATATCCTATGTTAAGAGTCTAAATATACGACAGTTATTGCGTTTAAAGAGCTAATTCTTCTAGACTCGATAATAATATGAAGGTAAAAAACAAAGGTAACTGATGAAAATGACGTGTATATACTGACCTATGAGTGAGTTCGAATCTCCCCAGTTTGTAAGGAGTACAGAGTGGCACAGCAGAGTTAGAGATTGCCTCCATCTTCAAAGTCTCTCTCTTCTCTTACTTTGTGTGCTAGGCAAAGTCAGAATACCCTCCAAATATATAGAAAAATATGACAGCTACTAACTGTATGAATATCTTTGCTGATAAGCAAATAATATTAGGAATAATCTTATTAAAAGTTCTAAACAGCTTGACAATTAAAACTATATTCCATTATGTAATTATATGGGGTAGTTAGCATTTTCGGTCATTGACCAAAGAATCTATTGCGTGTTTTACATGATTATGAATTTATAAAAGAAAGAACAATGAAATAAAAATTGTTTGGTCAATGTATAAAAACAACTTGCTTTATTTGAAAGCTAGGAAATTTGCATATGATAATATGATCAATGATTAAGAATGACTTAGCCTCTCTACCTTCACAAGTTATAGGGCTAAGGTTGTGTACACACCATCCTTCGGTGGCGTAGCCACATAGTGTTTGTCGGGATAAAATATCGTATATACAAGTAAAATGATACACGAAATGATTAAATAACATATTTTGGACACCCTTAACATAACAAGTTGTTATAGCACCTCCTTGGAATGAAGAAGTGTCTGTGTGTTCGAATCTCACTAGTTCTACTTTTTGAAAACAGCTTTTGTTGTGCTATTTCTAACCACCCTTTATGAAATTACTGGTTCCGCCACTGCCATCCTTCCCAAACCACACTTGTGGGACTACACTTGATATGTTGTTGTTGATTAAGAATGACTTGCTCTTAAAAAAAATAGGCAACTTGCAAATGAATGTGTGGTCAATGATTTAAAATAACTTACTTTGCCTCCAAAAAATAGGCAATTTGCACCTGATCATCACCAAAGGTCAAAACCCATAAACAATCTAACACGCAGAGCCTGCATTGCAATAATGAGTTATTGGTACACGTCAGGCTTAGAATAGTGCAGTTAGCATGTTTGTATTCTAGTTAATTCAAATGAATTATGAATGCACCAACTTTGCCCTAATTGTAGAATTAATTTCTCCAATGGTCACTCAAAAACGTGACTTCCAGAGTTGAGCAGCAATTTGAGAAATTAACCCCCAACTGTGGGGATCAATGAGAATGTTGTAATTTGTAAATTTAGGCCGTAAATCGTAATTTATGAAAAACAGAAAAGAGAACAAACAAGCATTCTATCTTCTATTTTTTTCTCACTGGAACATTGCAAAATTATCAAAAAAAAAAAAATACCTGAAAAAGAATTCCATTTGCCTGAAGGAGCTATAAACCAGAAATACTAGCCGGTGCCCGGATCTGGTATTCCGTTCAAGCTCCGGAGACATAGTTAGAAGCACTTCTCAAATCCGAAACTGAAAATGCTAGTACCATTATTGGCCTTCCTTTATCAGTTCTCCACCACGCCATTGTTACCGAGTCGTTTGACATGCATGCCAAGTTTGCTGCAGTTACTCCTTTTCTCACCTTTAAGATTTTCGACAAAAATCCCACGTATAAAATTGAGATTATTTTTGCCGATAAATAGCCCACTTTATCCAATTTAATTTTTAAGTTTTGATTACATTAAGTCGAAATTATCTTCATTATAGGAATAATGTATTATTGTCTTTTTTTTAAGGATTAGTAAGTTATACAAAGTTACTATTATATTAGGCAAAGTGTGTGAATCAAAAATATTTATGTTTTGAAGATGAAGGTGTGTGGCCATATTAGAAGGAATATGGTTAAGAACAAAGTTAAATGTAACTACAATAGATGAAATAGTGTATGTGACCGATATAATAAGGAAAGTGAGACTGATATAGTTTAAACATATGAAGAGGAGTGTATGTGACCGATATAATAAGGAAAGTGAGACTGATATAGTTTAAACATATGAAGAGGAGTGTATGTGACCGATATAATAAGGAAAGTGAGACTGATATAGTTTAAACATATGAAGAGGAGTGTATGTGACCGATATAATAAGGAAAGTGAGACTGATATAGTTTAAACATATGAAGAGGAGTGTATGTGACCGATATAATAAGGAAAGTGAGACTGATATAGTTTAAACATATGAAGAGGAGGTGTGAAGATGTATGTGTCAGTGAGGAGGGGGGGAGGGGGGTGAGAGGTTGATTTTAGCAAGGGTTAGGAAAGGTAAAGATAGGTCGACAAAGAATTGAGGGAGGTGATTAGACAAAACATGACACAATTTCAACTAATTAAAGACACAACTTTAGATAGGAAGGTATTAAGGTCAAAAATTAAATTAAAACGTTAGAAGGTAGTCTAATCGTGCCGTACTCTAAAATATAAGTAATGTATGCGTACATCATAACTTTTCTAAGCACCCGACTTATGGTCCATGATCTTTTATTTACTAGTTCAATATGTTAAAATTATTTCTTAAGAGCAAATTAATTGCTTTTTTTAACTATACCCTTATGATTCTTTCAAATTTTCAAAATATCATTAATAACGATAATTTAATAAAACAAAAATATTTAATTTGCAATTTCTTAAAAGAGTAGTACTAGTATTTATGTCCAAACGGTAAATATATTGTACTAAGAAAAAGGACAAAAGTATTTGTCCTAGATAACAGAAAAATAGAAGAAAGAAGAGAAAAAGCGGACGATAATACTATTAAGACAAGAAAAGGTGTTTGATAGCGAGAGAGAAAAGAAAGCATAGAGAAAAAAAGCAAAACAGGGAGATGAGAGGGGTCTCTAATGGGAGATCAATTTCCTTTCTTCTCTTCTTCCTTTCGTTTTCTCATCAATTCATAACAGGTTTGCATGCAATCACCCAGATCTTGATTTTCCTTCTTTTTTTTCCGATTCTGTTTTTGTTATATGATTGTTTTAATGGGTTATTTCGTACTAGTAAATGTTTCTCATAGATCCCTTGTGTTTAAGGAAGAATGATGAGTTTGGAATTCGGAAATAAGAGTGTCAATTATCGATCTCGATTCAATTCGATATCATTAACCCTCTTTCTTTTTCAAGAATTGTAATTGAAAATGTGCAAAAAAAAATCTACTTAATAAAACATAATAAGAATAAAGATTGCGTACATAGGAAGCTAAGATGAATTCCTAATTTACTATTGCTTTTACTGTCGTATTTAGGATAAGGGTTGTGTGTGAAAAGGTTGTCATTTGTCTCTGTCTAGTTTTGAGAAAAATGGAGTGTTGTGACAAATTCAAGAAAATGAAGATGATCTTGTCTTGATGTTACAACAACTCAATTACAGCTTCAGATTCTTTTTTCTTTTTTTTTGGTTGGTGGTGAAATGAATTACTGTGGTTTGGACATGTGAAGAGGTGCAGATGCTCCAATGAGGGGGTGTGAGAGGTTGGCTGTGGTGAGCTTCATGAGAGGTAGAGGTAGGTCGAAGAAGTATTGGGGTTGGTGATTAGACAAGACATGTCGCATCTCAGCTTCCTGAGGAGGTAGCTTAGGGTGGTAGGTTAGTGGATAGTTGAACGTCGTCTTTTGTCCAACGAGATAGGTTTTTCCTTGTGTTTGCTATGTCTCTACCATTTCTGATTTTCCAAGGGTATGCAGTATACTTTACTATTTTGGGTAGAACTACATGCAACTATCAACCAATTAGGAATATACCCTTATAGCTCGTAAATGGGACAATGAGGAAACTATGTTTTTAAGAAGATAGTTGTTAGTTGATCCCGCTTGCAGACCTCAAATTTGTAAACAATGGAGGAGAAATTGAGGAATGGAAAAAGATCTGAAAAGGTAATGAAAATATCATGTTAATAATTTGGCTTTTGGTAAATGATTGCTAGTAGGTGAGATCAATATGCTATACCTTTCTGCCTAGAGTTAATCACGACCTCACTCTCAATCAAAAACTTTTGAGGATTAGTCCAATCAATTTTCCAATATGCTGACAATGTCACCTAAGCACTCACCAATAAAAAGGCTATCTGTGGAAAGGAAAAATCTGAAGCACTTCCCAGTAGTTGTTGAAGTTGCAAAATTTACAAGGAAAATGAGTATGATTAACTAGTCGTACCGGTTTACATGAGAGATCACTGCAGGATAAGCTTTCTGACTATGCCAGCAGACCATAATTTTAATCAAAGTGTCCCAGCTGGGCGTTGTTGAAAGAGACCACTGTCTTTGTTGATTTCTTCACACTCAAGCTTACATATTGTAATGTGCATTCCATCCACTAGTAATGACTGCCCCGACATGGTTCCATTATTTATTTATTTTTGATGAAGTAATAGAAGATTTCATTACAGGCATGACATGGTTCCATTAATTGAGTAAGCCCCAGTAAGGCTTAGACACTTCTATTTGTCCATCCCTTACCTTGACTCCTGACTGCTCCCAGTTCCATCGTTTGCTTCTTGTGAATTTAGTATCCATTCCTATATGTCTAATATTCATCATTTGTATTCTCTTCACCACATCATTCACTCTAGCACCATCTTCTATGTTTCTGGGACATAAAAGGGAGAGTCAGTGTTGTTGTGGAAAAGATTTGAGCTCAACTAGGGGTTCCACAATTTGTCCGTCCTTGACATGGAATCAATATGCTTGAAAATCTAGCTCCCCATAGGTGTTGCTACCATTTTATGTTCTTTTGTCCTTGTTCAAAGATACCCAGGAATGCACCCCATCAAACCTGTTTATGGCTACATTTTTATGACAAGCATCTGTATACTTGAATTTGTTTCCATTTTGTCGGTTTGATTGTTTATATGTATGTGTTTTACTTTCAGGCTTTTCAGACGATTCTTTAAATCCCAAAAATGGAACAAAAGTTGATACTCATGCTGCATCCAGCAGTAACACTGGGTCAACTGTACTCATTGTATGCCTTGCCCTTGTGGCAGTAGTGCTTCTGTCATTTTTCCTTTTCAAGTTTTGGCAAAAGAAGAAGCGTGAAGAGCAGTATGCTCGTCTGCTAAAGTTGTTCGAAGAAGATGATGAGCTTGAGCTTGAGCTGGGTCTTCGGGATTAAATTTGTGTCAGATGTTAACAATCAATGTACTGAGGTGAGGCTCCTTATTGTACTCTCTTGGAAATGCTGCTCTGCTTTCTACTCCTAGCTTTTACATGGAATTTTGGAATTATTGTTTGGTGAATGAGCATAATGCTGTTAGCACATACCCTTCTTACCATTTAAGAAGATCATTCGGGTTTTTTTGAGTGTCTCAAAATGTTCAAAACTACTAACTCTGATCAACTGCATGGAAAAATTGTAGCTTAAACTTTAAACTGTGTAGTTCTGCTGTCTCTGGAAGTAATCTTGTACAAAAACTTCAGCATGATATGAGAATTGCTTTTATCTAGCATTACTGATGTCATACCTGAGCAAAGTAACTCTTTCAGCCAATTTTCTCTGCTAAACTGTCATATAAAAAATGGGAAGGAAGGAGCAAATATTACTCATTGTGCACCTTCCTAATGTTTATTACTGTATAGATATGCTATATGGGTAGTCTTTACTCATATTTCATGTAAGTTCATTCATAATTTCTGTAGGATGCTTTATCTTTTTGCACAGTCTTCTTCTATTTCCTTTTTGTACCAAGTTGCAGGCAATCAAGCTATCTAGTCTTTATTGTTGCTATGCTTTATCAGTAACGTAGTTCCCTTTAGCTAATCTCAATATTGTATCAAGATGAGTGATATATGGCTTGCTTTCTTTTGCCAAATATAATTGCAACACAATTTTATGTTTCTCCTTTTCTAAATTCTTTTACCCTGATTTTCAGTTATCCTGTGTTGAGGTTGTCTATCTTGGCAAACGATTATGGAATGTGAAACTTATCAGATTTTATAAGTTATTAGCTTATGTGTGCTCTGTAAATTTAATGACTGGCATATATGCTCTAATAGTTTTCGTTACAAATGTTAAGGTCTGTGCCTGTATCAGATTTTATATCCATGAGCTTATATGCACCCTGTTATTATGCTATATCAGTAACATAGTTCCCTGTATGCTTTGATTTGGTCTTGACTCCTAGGGGTGATTCCCCAGGAGGGCCTGGACAAGTGTTTGATGTGCACGTGGTATATTCTACGTAGTTTCTTTTAATCTTTTGTAATTTGGCTATTATATTATCATGTTACTGTTTAGGCTCGAGTGTCAGCCTGTGTGGACATGAAGTGGTCATGCTGATGAGGAAGTATCTTTTTCTATTTCTTTTTTGAATGCCTATATGTTATTTGTTTGTATCCAATATCTGCTCAAACTGTGATAATATGCAAAGGCTGTCAACTATTTGGAACAATCAGTCTTATTCGCTTATTGCATCTCACTTTTGCTTCCACTTACTATTTACCTGATATCATCTCGTTGTGTGCAGATGTAAGTAATATCTTAAATCCAGATTCTTGATTCAATGATGACAATGGGTTGGATTGATTCCAGAATATTGACATAAATCAAGAGAAATCTTCATTTCACAATTTGTAGAAATATGTATCAGTGTTAGCAGAACCAAAACTATCATGCATTCTGTTTTTTGGGTACAGCGATCGATGGATAACAGATATTGCCAAACGTCACCCTCCAAAATGAGGATTGTAATTCATCCGTCACAATTTCACTCTGTAATAGTTGTGTAGTAGGTGTTTGCAGCTTATTAGATTGCTTTAAAATTGAGGAATAATTTTAATCAAAGCTCAAATGAGCTAAACTGTACTTCAAGTTGTGCGAATTTGCTTTTGTACCCTCTGATGTATCACTAGGCCTTAAATATATTTTGTTTTTTGTATGTGTTAAATGTTGTATCCTCTAAATAAGAAGTCACACTTCATCAATGAAAATTTTACTATTTTTCACAACATGAAAGGACAAGCCATTGAACAAACAAGACTGCAGGTTAAAGTTGAACTAACATCAGTGACCCTAAAAGCAAGGAACTGAAGTATTGGTATAATTTAAAGCAAAATATTCAGCGATATCTTGTCAAACTTCTGTTCTTCTCAATATATTTATTCAGAAGTTGAAGCAGTTGACCTGCAATAATTAAAATAATACATGAATCTCATAAGTATCGAATAAGAAACAGATTATTCTGATTGATTTAACACATTGACCACTAAACCTAGATTAAGACTAAAGGTCAACCTCTAGGAAGGATGGTTACAGAAAAAAAAATAAACATTACGCCTATATCTAAAGAATCTGTCTTAAGGATTCCTGCATTCTGTACCAGAAGCAAACTTGGGAAGTCTTCCTAATCGGGCAGATAAGCTATCATCTGTGTCGATCACTAGACAAACAGCATTTCAGCAATTAGTTGTCATCTTCCCGTCTTTGCTCGTTTCATTCCTGTATTACTAAATGGAGACATGCTAGGGCTCATTCGGGGACTCATGCTTGGGCTTTCTTCCCTTAGTGTACCATTTAGCATAGCCAATTCTCTTAGTTGTTGCTTCTTATAAACATCCACAGATTCATCCTGATACAGGAAAAACGAGGGAGAAAAGAGTCAAAGGGCTAGATAAAAGTTGGAAGCAAATGATGGCAAATTGCAGCTATATCGTTTTAACTCGTACCACAGGCTTTAACAGGTTCTCTAGGATCGATACTGCATGATCAATGCGGGCGTCAATGATGTCTTCCGGAAATTCAGCCTCCACCAGGAGATGCAGTGGCTCTTTGAGGTGCTCATACCCAGGTTTATCTTTCAATTTCTCTTCCTACAGGAGGGAAAAAAGAACAATGCAAAAAAGCAATTTAAAACTAACTTATAATTTAGACAACAAAATGATTCAGGACATTAAAACAATCATTCTTTCTAAAAATGAGAATGATGTCTGCTAGGTTGTTTGATTATACAAGGAAAAAAACAACGGAACTTTTCATAGACATATGGAGAAGATATCTGTAAGCCAGAATTTCTGCAACTGATAAAAAGCAACATTACTTCCTCGGTTAGGCTTAAACGCTACAGAAAGTACATGGTTGGCTAGCAGAGAACTATTAGGCACATTAAAAATTGCCTCCCTGGAATTTATTTACGACTGAAAAAAAGATCAAACGTAGCATGTATCATGCTTTATTTCAATCACACATGGAGTTCAATTGAATATTATAGATTCAAGCCATGTCTGCTATAGCAACATGAGAATGTCATAATTGAAGTCAATTTCATTTACCAGGTGGCCAAATACATGACAACCCCCTAAAGTTGGCATTACTTCAGTTTGACACCTCAACAGACCCTTGTACCTATTAGACATTTTTTGTATAACAGTAGTGTCTGGCCCAACTTATGTGCACCTAGACTTACCCACAGGATACGTAGTACATCCTAACAACACAAGTTATGTGATTCTATCCGCCAACACTTAGATGGGGCAGAAATCACCTAGTAATGTTTGCCTCAGCTGGAATTTGAACCCTGGTCTCCCATGGTCCGTTCCAGTTTCATTGACCACCAAACTACACCTATGGGTGCATAAATTTTTTATTTATGTTCCTGCTTGCTTTTCTCTGCAGCTTAGCAATTAGCCTCGTTGTAATAGTTAGCAGAATTTGATTGGTCATGGTTGACCACCTCTTCAGATAAATACAGAAGAGAGATGACTATGGCATTTGATATTTTCAGCACTAAACTAAATAATCAATTGCAGATTTCAGGCAGTAAACTTCACACCTGTAGAGTAGAATGATTTTAAGACAGGGAGACTGAACAATACACATGATGTGATTTCTTAGGACCAAGTAAGTAAATCACCATTCCACCTATAAAAATTTTATCAGCTATTCGCTTGGAAAGATGGATGCAAACCCGTCATCAGATAATGGCTCTAGAAAAGATGAAGAGATGAGTGCGGCATCAGAGGAAACCCTTGCTCGTAAATTTGGAGTAAAAATATAACATCCACAACAACTAATTTACACCACTAAATTGGATATGTTAATACTGTTTTTTGCTTGGATAACAATGGTGCCTAGGCCAGGTTGTGTGCATTTCAATTAATCTTTTAGCTACTTGCTACCTCCACCAACACAAGTACCAGGTAAGTTTGTCAACCAAAACTCAAAAAAACCACTTTAAGAATTAAGCATTATTTTGACAAAGCATTTCGGAGCAATGTGACAGAGAACACTTCTCTTATAGAGGCCCTCATGAAGCAAGTCATAGTAAATCTAAGTTTACTCAAGCTTGCTCTTACAACAAACATCGAGTGAGAAGAATAAAAGGGCCCAATACCTTGATAGAGTCCTTGACTGAGCCCTGTCCTCTGATGTAGACTCTACACTCTGTAATGGCTTCAACTCTCTTTAGGGAATTCCCACGTGGTCCCAAAATTCGACCGACAAAATTATACTGCATGGTTTCAACTTAGTCAAGATCTGTTCCAAAATTTAGGAAGAAAAAGAGCAACATGAACAACACCCTAATAAGGTTCACATACATTTGGGAAATTCTCCACAGGAACATCCAGTCTTATGACTCTCTTCACAACAGGAGTGGTTGCAGTTCCCGGCACAACATGCCAATCCAGAGGGGAAGGTTGAAATGGCGCCATTTTCTGGAGAAGTCTATTTTCCTGCAGCAAGTAAAAAACATCAAGGGGTAAATCCTCCAGCAATGTCCACGAGCAGTTATTCAAACTCCTTCAAGGTATGAAGATGGATTCAACAAATATATTATCAAAAGCTGCTTACAATACCTGTAATGCGGAGTAGGAGTAACAACACCTACAATATCTGACTAAGACTAACACCACAAAAAGTGCTAAGCTTTTTCTTTCTATTTATCTAACTAGGTTATGTTTAGTGCTTTGACAAGGAAGCAACAAGTGTGAGGGAAAATGCGGTTACATTTTCATTAAAGTAATCCACGTGGCAAGGATAGATTACATTTCTGGGAAGAGCAAGAAGTCCTTAAATAACATCTGAGAATTTTATTAGATGGCATATAAGGATAAAATCACAGGTCAAAACAGTAAATTTGAATGCTGAAACTCTGCACAGAGTTGGCAATACCATCCTCTACAAAGCAACTATTATTGATAATGATGCATGAAAATTCCACCTGCTGAACTTACATTTCTTTCTAACATTTGTGAACAAGCATAGTGTTCTAATGCTCAAGCTAAATAGATTATTGAAACTACAAAATTGAGCACAATATTTCCTGAGATTAAGAAAGTGAATCCTCTTGAATACAGAAGCATTTTATCTAGCTAAGTAATTGTCATAAGGAGTAACAGGACAATGATACAAACTTAGAATAATTCTTAAAAGTAAGCTACAAAATATGGTTTCTCAAACACATACATTTGTTGAGCTACAAATACACAAATCACAATTAACATAGAATCTTGAGGAAGTTATCTCTTGTGATTCAAGGCATAAACTTGCACAATAAGTATGTAGGATTATCCACATTTAGTATTACAATTGCTCCCTTACAAGAGAAACATCAATTATAGTGCTTGGATTTCCACATTTACTGTAAAGGAGAAACGTCAATTATAATGCTCGAATAGTGTGTGTCGTGAACCTGGTTTCCAAGGAAGCACATAAGGTAATTCACTTCCAATTGATATCTAAAATTAAAGATATGCTACAAGATAGTGCAGCTAAAGTGCTCAGAAAAATCTCTCGGCGCACGTGAGCAACGCCTAGGCCAGAAATGCCCCGAGGACGGACACGCAAAGGGCAACCTAACGATCTTGGACCTGGGAAGAACATGCAGGCTTGGGAAAGAAGCAACGGTGCGAAAGGACCCATAGGAAAAGGGAATGGTAAGGTTCCACTGGAGTACCAGACCAAGGAAGCTCTGTCACTGAAGCTTGGCCACCACTATCAAGTGCTAAACCAAAAACTAATATGCCTGTTGTAGTGGGAGGACCTAGTAGCTCTGCAAGCTCAAGAAATTTGCTTCGCCTAGTGCAGTTCAGATTTTTCCAAGCCAGCAAAAGAACAATGAAGCTGTCAGAGTCGTTTTGTCCAAACAAGGGACAAGGACTCAAAAGCTCCTGGTTGTGATGTTCTAACAATGCATGCTTTTTTCAAAAAGGCAGGAGGGGTCTTGGGATTCTTCTCTACTGGATCAATGTTCAAGCCTACTACAGTACCACTGATTCCCAAGGTGCAGAGAACCCAACTAAGATTACTGAGTACAGGCCAATATCATGTTGTACTATCTTATACAAACTTATCTCAAAAATACTGACCCACAGCCCACAGGATGCAGAAGGTGATGGCTGGATTGGTGGATGCAATTTTTATCCCTGGTAGAGTGGTAGTGTGATTACTGATAACATTATTATGTCCCATGACCTCATTAAATGGTATGGGAGGAAAAAGATCTGCCTAGGTGTATGCTG